GAGAAACGATTTGTAGTCCAAACTTAAGACACTTTGGAGAGTGAAAGGGAGTACTATTAACGTTTATACCAGGCCAACAGGTGTACATGGACTGATCAGACATAGCAGGATGAAATGGGTGTGTGACCTATGGTGACTCTACTCCAAGTTGGAACAACATTATTATGGACTTCTACTCTCTAGCCTGGTCTCTTAGAAAGAAATCAAGGAAATATTGGGAGGCTTTACTCTGAAAATACGTGCTTTAGGCTGGAAATCGGGCACTATCTAGCTCAACAGACTAAATAGGATCTTTTTCTCTAGTGCTTTACCAATATAAAACAATATAAGGTGTATATTAGGGACATTCAGTTTTTATCTATGGTATATGTTGTAAATATTAACTCACAATTTGACATTTGACATTTGTCTTCAATTTTGTTTATGATGAAGCCTCCTTTAGCAGGTAGTCCAATATACCTTGTAGCCTCATGAGAAAAGATTAAAAGAACCCAAGGTTAGAAAACTGGAAATCTGCTCATCTTGCACTTGTAAATGGTGACTTTTTCAGCTTTGGGAGAAAGGAAAAAATATACAAAAGGAAGGATCCCCCAGCTTTTCCTTTATCTGATCAAGGCTTTTCATTTCAAAGGTTTGTTAATCCTAGGTCACAGAAGAGCCAAAAGATATTTTGGGAAATCATTTTGTGATCTTATTATACAAATAAGATGTGTTTACCCAAGGTTAACTATTACATTGCAGTTGCAAAATAGTGGCTTTCCAATTTATCATGCCCTCCACATTTTTCTGTATAAAAGAGTTTTCCTTTCTCCTACCCTATACCTTTTCTTTTCGTATTCTTATATTGTTAGTGATATTTATTAAATGAACTTACAATTTTTGTTTTTTTAATTCCCTTCTTTTTAAAATGTTTTTATTTATGCAAGAGAGAGAGAGGCATCAATGGCAGAAAAACACTGATCACTTGCCTCCTACAAGCCCCCTCCTGGGAATCGAACCTGTGACCTCTCGGTACATGTAACTATACTCAACCAACTGAGCCACACCAGCCAGGGCCAGTTTTTGTTTTTATTTATTCAATGTGTTATAATTCATGACCTGTTTTGTGTGTGTGTGTGTGTGTGTGTGTGTTTTTAACTAAGCTCAACAATGTTTAACAGTGGCTTTATGTTTATGTTTTTACCTTGAGGCAATCTAGTCAACCCTATCATAAAGGAAGTGATCAAATTTCACATCATCAATAAGGGGACAAACAGACACTAAGAGACTTCTAAATGGATGCAGTGGGAAGTATACCATCACCTGGGCAATATTCTGGTCAAAAATGTTTAGCCTGAATTTAATCATGAAGGAACAATCAGACAAATCCAGACTGCTGGATAGTCTTTAAATTATCTGGCCTGGGCTCTTTAAAATTTCTAGGTTGTGGAAAAAAACAGGAAAGGCAGAGAAAATATTTTAAATTAAAAGTGATATAACCAAATGCAATAGATCTTGGATCAAATAAATTCTATAAATTCTACTTGGGGGGATTTGACTATAAACTATGAGATGATACTTAATGCTTAAAATTTTATGTGTAAGAATGATACTCTGATTATGTAAGAGAAGGTCCATTCTAAGGAGATGGATGATGAAGTACTTAGTGTGAAGTGTCAGGATTATTGCATGTATGTGTGCATGTGTGTGTGTGTGTGTGTGTGTGTAGAGAGAGGTGAGTGTGCTCCAATATGGCAAAATTGTTATGATTGGTTAATTTAAGTGAAAAGCACATCAGTGTTAATTTTACTCTTTTTTCAAATTTTCTGAAGGTTTGTAAATTTTCAAAATACAAAGTTGAGGAAAAATTGGGGTTTTTTTCCTTCTTGTTCTTGGAGGAGTCCAATGAAGATCCTAGAATGGGTCTAGGAAAGAGGGGATTTGTGAGGAAAAGAAGACTAGGAAACGGAGGGTTTCCAGACACATGGGAGGAGCAAGGCCCATGGTCCTAATTTATTAGGGTAATTGACAGTGATGACTGGAACAGCCTCCAAATTTCCATGGCTTACTTAACACAATAAAAACTTATTTCTTGTTCTAGTAGAGAAAACAGACTCTCAGAGGTGAAGTAACAGCCAAAACCAGGGGCAACCCGAATTCCCACCCACTTCTGTCTCCAAAGCCCATGTTCTTCTCAGCCCAGTACATGCTCCTGAGGTTAGAATGAGGCTGTCAACCCAAATCTGACATTCCTTTTACTCTCCATGATTGGATCAATACTCTATCCTGAGAGGCAGCCTGGGATCCTGAGGATACCTCATTTTAAATATTCTAAATTAAAAGTGATATAGCCAAATGCAGTAGATCCAGACCATTCATTCGCTTGTTCTACAAATATCCTTTAATACCTTTAACATCCTCAGTACTATTCTAGGACTCAACAGTGAACCAAGTCCCCACTCCCAAGGAGCTTACCTGCTAAGGAGGAAAAGAAACAAGGAGTAAACGAGTAAATTATAAACTGAAGCTATGATAAAAGCTATGGAAAAATAATGAAGCAGGATAAACAGGTATTGAGTGGCAGGGAGGAGGAGGTTCATACAGATTAGGATTCAGGTACATCTCTGCATATTTGGAGCCCTGAAGGATATAAAGCCTGAACCATTTGAAGGCCTCAGGAAAGTGTATTCTAAACTGGGGAAGCAGTAAGTTTAAGGGCCCTGAGGCTGTAACAAATTAGAAGTGATACTAGCACATTAAGGCAAGTGTGGCTGGAGAGGCAGAGAGGTGGGAAATATAGGAGGCAGGTACAAGACAGAGTAAGAAGTAAATAGAGGGTTTTAAGGCAGGGCAGCGATGTGATCTAACTTTCCTTTTAGACCTGCAGAATTCTGTGTGGAGAATGCAGCCATCTAGCTGAGAATTGATGGTGATCCGGTGGTAGCCGTGGGGATTGAGAAGTGGCCAGAGAGAAATGTATTTTGAAGGGAGAGGTACCAGGATTTGCTGATAGATGTGAGATATGAGGGAAAAAGGAAGATGGCTCCTAAGTTTTGGGTCCAAGAAATGCTCTGACCAGTCCCACTTGGTTACAGAAACAAAGGAATTTAATGGTAGTGTGGTATGTGCTGTATTATTGTAAAACCCATTGTATGATGAAAGTTACATGTTTTTAAATCTTGGAAATAAGAGGACTAGATTCAGTAACTTCTCGATCAGTTCCTCAGATTATTAAAATAGTGTTGATATTTGTTATGAGATCCGTTATGAGACTTCACAAGAACAAAATGAGGTAATATTTGTGAAAAATGCTACTCATATGGTTAAGTCACCTAATAACCAACTCTAATATTTGTGTGGCACTTTCAAGGTAAAATGTGCTTTCTTGTGCTTGAAGCAATTCAGTTTACTAACAGTTAATATTATGCTAAAAAGCTGGTGGACTGAAACCCCTGTGACCCTATATCCCAAAATATGTTAAATAATCATTAGCCACCAAAGGAGAAGTCTCTCTGTCTTCTTTCCATATCATAGTCTCTCTCTGGAGAGAGAGCTCATGCAAAGAAAAGCAGCCAACCACAGGGTCTACAAGAGCCCTACAGGTGTTGTCTTTGGGCTGTTCCTCCACCCACTCAATGCACTGCAGCCTCTGTGGATTATCTCTCCATGCCACTTACAAGGGACAGGAACTTCAGGACTCTCCATCTGAAATTCCCAGCCTTCCTTGTTTTAGCAGAAACCAATCTGTTCATCATCAGAACATAATGAAAACATGAGTGTGTGTGTGTGTGGTTTTTTTTTAATGGGGACAGTGGCTGACTACCAGAAAATAATTATATTTATTAATAAATACAATAGAAAAAGAAAGGGTTACCAATTTCTTAGAAGAAAAATAACATGGACCAGCACCACCGGGTACATGTTACAAGTTTAAATGCCCACATTTGTTCTGAGAGCTCCCCACCACACTGCAGATGTTGGATCAAGGACAACCACCATCAGAGCTGCTGTAAGAACACGTCATAGTCAGTTCTTCAAACAGAAGACTGAAAAGATATTCTTCCTGTCTTAGAAGCTCTTGGTGCAGAGAGAACTTACCAGTGTGGAAAACAGTCTTGCTTTTGAATTCAAGGAAAACCATGAATGAATCTATCATTTCCTTCTCTGATACAGTCTGCAGAGTGGTCTGTGAAGAGTCTTTTTCCATTCCTACCACTTTATCTGGATAAGAGGAGAGGGAAGGGTGGGAAGGTGCCAGTGTCCTGCCAGGCCATTCGGGCGATGTTCTGCTCTCCACGCCTTTCTGCTGGTAGTAGATGGGGGAGGAAGAGACCGCCCACCAATGACCTTTTCTTGAAGCCATATTTTTTGTGTTCATAGAATAGATCTGTCCTAGAGCTCCCCAAATTGATGGTGTTTGGACAACCATCTCTATCTTTCTCCTGGATGGAGCACTCCTTATAATGATGGGCATCAGAGATTCCAGGGCCTCCTCAGATCACACAGCCCCCTGACAGGAGCCACATTTACACTCATCACATATGTGCACATAGGAGTCACAGATCACACACTAGCCCCCACATTTTTCACACAGTTTTCTGGCATCAACAGCAGCTTGCTTGCAGCAAAAGATCAAGTCCAAACATCAGTTTTTTAAACTGACAAATTAATTTTAACGTGTCAGTCACTGCTGCTGCTTTATTTATTTGCCATTCTTTATTCTTATACCCTGGAGGGATTTCTTTTTTCCACCTGGGAATACTTAGAACGTTAGCTAGAAATACTTAACTGATATTTCCTTTCAGGCTCTTTAAATCTTTAAACAAGGAACATTTCAGAAGTGTTCTGCTTTTGGTTGCTGTAGATCCATGTCAGTATTTTATTTGGATAAATTAACAGTTTTGCTTTGCCCTGGCCAGTGTGGCTCACTTGGTTGAGCATCATCCCATGCACTGAAAGGTCTCAGGTTCAATTCCCTGTCAGGGTTGCAGGCTTGATCTCCAGTAGAAACGTTCAGGCGGCAGCTGATCAATGTTTCGCTCTCACATTGATGTTTCTCTCCCTTCCTCTCTCTCTAAAAACAAAACACAATAAAAAATATTTTTTAAAGTTTTGCTTTATTACATATAGATAACAAAGAATAAAATGTATAACAATAATAAATATCAAGGCATGACTATTCACAGCCTCTTTCTTCTCAACTGCTAAGCAATATTTTGCTATTGTCTACCTAACCTTTTCCTCTTCCCTCGGTTTAGGGCTTTATTAGTAGATCAGAGTGAAGGGGTGTGTGTGTGTGTGTGTGTGTGTGTGTGTGTGTGTGTGTGTGTGTGTGTGTTGGAGGAGAACAGACTAGGAAAGCAGGAGGGAAATACCAAAGAAAGATTGGTAAAATTTACATTGCAAAGAAAGCAATTGACTGATGGAAGAGAATAAATTTGATCTCAGGGAAGAAAGGGAAAATGGCATGAAAGTGCTCAAGTTTCTGAGAAAATATTAGTAAAGATGTTGAGGTATAGCCACTGTATGGAGGAGGGATGTTGAAACGACAGATAGAAAAGAGCTACTTTATAAGTTTTGCTCTAAAGAGTGCATCTGTCCACTACACCCACCACACACACCTAGAGCTTTCTGAAGTGAAAGTTTTATTTACTTTCAACATTTTAGGAGGACGGTTTTCTCTGAATTTTATATTATGCTAAGACTGGGCCACAAAGGACTTGGCAATTCAAACTACCAAAATCTCAGTACACTGGGACACGTTTTCTATTTAGACATTTTTTATAGACATAAATTAGTGACTCCTAATTTTAAGATTAAGATTTTTTTAAAACACATAGGGAAAATATTAAGGGATGATGCATATTCTTTAAAGATGCATTTCTTGAGGTTTTAATCATTTTGTGAAACTTTGGGAAAACTCTGCTATTAAGCATTTAACATTGCTACTACCCTGAGGCCTTCCTAAAATCAGAAACTCTTTTTTCCACAATCTTTCAGCATTTTTCTTATATCTCTGTTATTATACTGAATTTATTTTGTCTGGCTTGTTTTTTCAAAGAAACTTCTTATTAAAACACCATATGTTGGCCTGGATTTAATCTTTTCCTCCCACAGATTTACTGAAGTATAATTGACAAAATGTATTTTATATTTTGCATATAATAGTGTATTAAAGTATTCAACTTGATGATTTGATATACGTTGTAAAAGGATTCGTACACTTGAGTTAATTAACATCACCTCATAGTTAACTTTTTTGTGTGGGGGGCGGGAATGCTTCAAATGTATTCTCTTAGCAAATTTCAAGTGTGTTCTACAGTATTATTAACTATGGTCACCATGCTGTACATTAGATCTTCAGAACTTACCCATCTTATGCAAAGTTTGTACCTTTGAGCAATCTCTCCCCATCCTCCCACCTCCCCCAGCTCCTGACAACCACCAATCTACTCTGTTACTATGAATTTGGCATTTTTTAGATTCTACATGTAAGGGAGATCATACAGTACTTGTCTTTCTCGGTCTGGCTTATTTCACTTAGCATAATGCCTTCCAGTTTTATCCATGTCATTGCAAATGGCAGGATTTCCTTCTTTTTTGTGGCTGAATAAATTCCATTGTGTGTATATACCACATTTTCTTTATCCATCCATCAACAGACACATAGGTTGTTTCCATGTCTTGGTTACTGTAAATAATGCTGCACTGAACATGACAGGAGAGATATCTCTTCGAGAGAGCAATTTCATTTTTTTGAATATATACCCAAAAGTGGGATTGCTGGATCATATGGTAGTTCTATTTTTAATTTAGCCTGGTTTTATTCTTAATTGTGTGTTGTAAGGTCATTGAAGACAGAGACCAAACCTGACTTACAAAACAATATCATGGCAATTAACAGCACAGGTCTTGAAGTTAGACACAGCTAAGTTTGAATCTTGGCTCTGCCACTCCTTAGTTAAAATACTAAGTCTTTTGTGTGTGTGTGTGCGGTTGTGGTGGTTGTTGTTTAACCTTGTTTAGTGTCAGTACTCTCATCTGTAATATTGAGGTAACTCCTATTCCTCTCAGGGCAGTCGTGAACATTAAATGAGAAGATGTATGAAAGGGTTTAGATTAGAACATACCCAAGTATTCAACCAATGGGAACTAGTATTATGTGTATGCCTACTTTATTATTTGAATTGCTACCACACAGCACAAAAGTAGCTGCTCAGATCTTTGCTAAACAAATCATGGCCAAGATGAGAGAAGAAAACCAAGAAAGGAATCTAGGGCCTGGCACCCTTATTTTATTATTATTATACCTTTGTTTCTCTCTGTGACCTTAAGATTTGGAGTCCCAGGGTCTGCCATGGAGGTTTGAAGCCTTCTTCTAGTCCAAATGAGCCTTGTTAACCGTGGTGTAGGAGGAAAGAGTTAGTACCAGGGCCTCCTTAGGAGTTCTGAGCCTCTCAGGGGATTTCCAATTCAATCTCTAGTTCCTTCACTCTTCCTGCCCTCCCCCCCCATGGCATCTCTAGAGAGTCTCCTCATGGTGGGGAACTTCCAGTGACTAACCTGTAACTTGGTGGGGTCCCCAGGAGTTGGGTGCCCTCTTAAATACCACTCCCTGCATGAAGCACTTCCTGTTTTTCCAGGTCAGAAAGAGTCTCTCCTGTTATATCACACAGCGTTCATTGTCCTCTTCTAGCGATTAGCTTTATGTCATTACCCCTGTGAACTGCAAGGTCTCTGAGAGCAAAGTCTGGCTCTAGTTCCTGTTTGATCAGTACAGTGAGCTGTACATAGTTCTCAAGTAATGATTGTTTTGCTAAATTATACTGAAGCCGGTCTTGGGGCTGCAGCTAAATCCCAGGCCTTGCCCTAAACTCTAAGGTGTTATCCTGATCCCCAGAGCTTTAAGATACAAACTTCTGCCACCTCTGAGGGAACACAGCCTCTGGTAAATTAGCAGTTCATTGTTTGATTCACTGTACAGTTCCCAGCAATAGGTTTCAAAAAGCTGGCAGGAACCCAGAAGAGAAATTTTATATAGGGAATAGATAGGGATTTACAAAATGGTAACATCAAACTTTTTCCTCTCTATAACTCAAAGTTGATTTTTTTTTTTTTTACACCATCCAACGATTACATAGGGGTGTGGTGGAAACAGCTGAAAACAATCTGAAAGAATGCTGGCTCTATTATAGGAGACAGTTTACTTAGTAGTCATATAAAAATAATAAAGTAATAATTTATTTGGTCCTAGATATAATTATTCTGAACCACTCAACATGCACAAAATAGTAAATTTTTCATTCTCAATTATTATTACCATAGTCTGCTAAAGCGACTAGCCAAAAATAATATTTTATAGCTATTATTATGAGTTGTTTATCTTAATTTGGGTGAAATAACATCTCAGAAAAAAAGTTTGCCATCTCAGCAACTTTCTTTTCTCACTCGGCATGGAGAGAAAAAAAAAAAATTACCCTTTCAATTTCGTCTTCCCCTGCTTGGACCTCAGTTCTGCTTGAAGAATGCGAACGTGTCTGCTCGCGATTTCATGTAGCTCTTCACGAATTCGGTTAATTTCCTGAAGCCCTCGGCCAGCCCATCCCCGGTGGTGGCACAGCAGGGCTGCACATACCAGTTCCGGTCACTGCAGAGCTTCTTTACCTTGAACAGCCTGGTGATTTCCTCCGCGGTCAGAGCTCCCGGCTTATCTTGTTTGTTGGCTAACAAAACAACCGGCACATTTTTCATGTGTTCATTCTTCAGAATGTGCTCGAACTCCCTCCTGGAGGCTTCCAGCCGCTGCTTGTCCGTGCTGTCCACCACGTACACCAGCCCGTGGGCGTGCTCGCAGTAACAGCCCCACACGGTCCTCATCCTCTCCTGGCCGCCAACATCCCAGACCGTGAAGGAAAGGCTCTTCCCCAGCTCCAGCATCTCCACGTTGAAGCCCACGGTTGGCATGGTCACAATGTCCTTAGCAAGCTTCAGTTTATAAAGGACGGTGGACTTGCCTGCAGAGTCCAGGCCCAGAAGAAGAATTTGGGCTTGCTTGACTTTAGGGTTTTTAGAACTCGACAGGCCCATTTCTAGCTTTTCATGAATCCCCTTTCGGCCAGAGACAATGTTTCTTCTCCGGGTCTTGCATGAAAATGCTAGGAGGAGAGCAGAGAGCAAATGCTTCCCATTGTATGCAGAGAAGAGGAACTTGTGTGTATTTATACTGTAGCTTATCAGCTTGATGATGGGCAAACAGTGTTTTATTTGCAGTCCCAACCAATCCCGAGGAATCCCTGGTGTGAGTAACCAGCCAATGCCATAGTCGCTCAAGGGGTAAATAGTTTGTGGGTGAGTCTGACTCAGGAGGGGCCTGCCTGGGTGATGCTGCAGCTTGTTCTCCTCCAGCTATTGGAAATGTAAGAGTTGGCGACAGAATAAAACTTAACTTGACAAGCGGTTTGTAGAACTTCTCCAATTATTTGACCATTTATCTTATCCCAGCAGCAAATAAGTAACCAGCCTTCTGAAGTCATAAAGAGAGAGTTTATCTCATACTTCCCTATGCAGTATCTTTAGTACTTTCCCCTTGTCCAGATTACTCAGTAGGAAACTTGAAACCACCCAAGGATGCCTGAACCTTACTCCCATAATCACATAGAGAATCACTTCTTTAATCTTCTAGGCAGAAAATTTACACTATTCATAAGACCAGATTTACAGAGGAGGAAGCTTGGCACACAAACACTTTTAAAATTAAGCACACAGTCTGATTAAAGATGACAAATTGATTTATTTGGAATCAATATCTTAAAAAATATTTTCTTGTATTTATCTCCTCTCTTTCTCAAGATTCCACCAAAATGACGGTGAAATAAAAATAAAAAGAACATGTAAACACATTACAAGAAGGCAGGAGAGTCCATCAAAGGGTGAGGGATTTTAACAAAATTCTGGCAGATGGACTATAGATGGGAGATGAGTGGTAACTGATGCAACAGGATGAAACTGAGGCTTCGGATGTTGATTCATAGGTTACAGAGGGAAGGAGTGAAATGAGGGACTAAAAACATAGGGGGTCAGCTAAAAGTCTGAATCAGGAGCAAAACACACACACACACACACACACACACACACACACACACACCTTTGCTGAGTGACATTTCAGCAATGACAAGTTACTCCCTAGGCAAAAAAAAAAAAAAAAATTGAATGGTTCTTTTCTAAAGAAATTGAATGATGTCAGAAAAAGAGATCTCCATGTTTTGGCATTTGGGAGTTTTCACATTTTAATGCCTAACTCAACACTCAAGTAACCTATAGCCATCCTGGCAATTGGCAAACATTGCTCATATACACAGAGTTTCCAATCAGCTTTTCAGCACTTAGAGATGTCTATATTTAATATTTAAAATGCCTTTAATGTGAATGAGGGAAAGACCAAGATAGAAATAAGAACACTTAAAGAAAGTTTAAACAGAGTTAGTGCAGGGAACAGAAGAAAATAAGTTTTAATATTTCCAAAGATTTGAAAAGATATCCCATCCATAAAACAGTAAATGAATGCTATTAAAAAGGCCACTCAAAAAACAAAACTTGAAAATTAAAAACATGACTTCCAAATTTTAAATAAAGATCAATAATAGGTTGGAAGGAAATAGTTTAGAAAGTAGAAGATAGAAAATATGATAGAAAAAATAGTAGTTGTAGAGGATCAATCCAAAGTTTCAATGTCTGACATAGTTCTTTATTCCAGAGGGAATAGAAAAATGCAAAAGAGGAAATTCTCAAAAAAATAATATGACTATTTTCCAAACTGAAAGAATGAACTGTCTAGATTGAAAGGCTTCCCTCAATGCTTAGCAAGTTGCTTTTCAAAACAGCTTATACCAAGGCATATAATATACATATTTTATTTTTATTAAAACTAAAATCTTATTGTCTTAATTAAGTAGACTATTCTGAATGTAGAAAGTACACTTATGAAGAAATTATTTTAACCTTTTAAAGAAACATTTTAACCAACTCACTATATCTCAGAAAACAGATAATATTTTCATTCATTTATTCATCCATCTAGTCATTCACTCAACAACTATACATATTGATTGCCTACTTTGTGAACCATCATGCTAGAGTCCAGGGAATCTAAATAAATTAGGTCTGCCCTTAGGAGGCTTTCATTGGAGAGAAGGTTTTAAAAAAATGTGAATAAATAAAAATAATAATACAAACTAAAAAAATTGTAAATTCTAATAAGAAAAGAAAAGCTTAAGTATTCTGGATATTGAAAGATTATTTCTGGATGGAAGCATTAGGGAAATCACCTAGACAAGATTAAAAATTGAACAGAGCCTTGTGAAGATGTGGTGGGGGAAGGGCAGTAATTAAAGAGATGGTCTGTGTGAACAAGGTCTCAGAAATGGGAAAATATAACATGTATGGGGAAAACAACAGGAATGCACAGCACATACACATGTATTTTTTTCCTGCAAACATCTTTAACTATTATTAGAAAACAAATATAGATTGTAGGACATGTTACAAGACAACAGACCTGGACTCTTCAAAGTATGTCCATATCATGAAAGATAGAAAAGAGGAGAGGAGGACTATTCTAAATTAAAAGATAACATGATTCCTAAATAGATTATGTTTATCTTTGATTGCATTCTTTGTCCAAAAAAATGATTAAAGAAAGTATGACAATTGAGGTCATTTGATTATGAACTGTATATTAGATGCTGTTATTTATCAATGATAAATGTCTTGTGTACAGGGATGGTATTGTGGTTATATAAGAGATGTTCTTGTTCTAAAGAGACACCTGATAATGTACTTAGGGGTGATATCGGCAAGTTAATTTCAATTGATTCAGCAAACACACACATATAAAGAGAGAGCACTCACAGAAATATGGTAAAAATTAATAACTGGTGGAATTAAGTTGGGGTATTGGGTGTTCATTGTACTATTTTGTAACTCTCCTGTACATTTGAAAATTTTCAAAATAACATCTTGAAAAAAAGAATTTCATGAAATGAGCTAATCAAATTAGACTGCAGTCTGAAGTAATGTAGAGATATAATTCAGTTTACACCTGTGATAAGACTGTATTTCCAAAGGTGAATTTAGGAACCCTGACTACACTACCACTTGAGCTCTTCCCAATTCCATATTTTCAATAAATTATCTTTTTAAATGTTTAAGATTTCTTTTTTATTAAACTTGATATATTCTTTATGAGACCCACTGTTGGTATATATATATGCCTTCACTCTGTTTTCTATTTGACCAATTTGTGCCTTATTTTCAGGATAGCCAAACAAATGAGAGGTCAAGTTCTAGATGAATATTACACCCAAATGAAAAGATAATTCTTCTGTGAAAGGGAGTAAAATAACTTCTTTTCCATGCTAATTTTCATTTTAAAAGTCCACAAATATTTCAACATCTTTCCTATTGTCCCACAACATTTATGGATTCATTTGTCCCAGCCAAACCTGAGGGAATCAGCAAGGTATTTGTTTTCTGTAAATCATTCTGAGATTATGCAAAAAGGTAGAATTGGGAGAGAGTTACTGGCAGGCTCTGAGTAGCACAGGAAATTTGCTTTAAAATACAGGAATGAAAGAAACATTTTCTTTAATTTCTTACCATGGAAATGGGAGGCAAATATACCTAAATTAGAAACTCAACCATGTACTGACCAAGGAAAGATATAGAAACATATCTCTTGGGAGAAAATGGCAACTTATTCCATTATCATTATGTTTCACAGATAAAAAAGAAGCAGGATGTGGTCATGCGACTTGCTTAGCTTATGCAGACTTCAAATATACCCTGTTTTATCTACAAGGACTATTTTATCAGTCTTTTAAAAAATAAACTTTTGGAAAATTGAAGTAGCATATATACATAGAAAAATGCAAAAATCATAAATATGCAACCACCACTGAAGCGAGGCTACATTTTTAATTTTCCATTTTTTGTTGCAAGTGAAAATTCCAGACTTCAAATGTTTCTACACCAGTTGTCAGAAATATACTCTGTTCTCAAACATGTGATGTGAACAACAGGTACTCATTATCATAGTTGAGATTCTTTGATGCTATGAAGAATGATATCATCCAACCTTCAAAGCTTTTCCAAATGCTGTTTTTCCAAGACAGAACCAACACTTTTATCCACATCCCCAATGACAGAGAACTCTTTTGGTCATATGAGTAGACCACTGGGTCTGAATTCAAATCTAGCCTCTGGCACTTACTAAGCTTTGGATGGTGATAAAATCAAGACTATTGTGATAATTACTTATAGTATTACATAAAATAAATGTGAAAACACATTTCACCGAACCTGGCACATGATTGATAAAAATTTTCTTTCTCTCCTCTTAGAAGTTTTGTATATTAGCTAATATTTAAAAATACCTGCAATTTTCAAATTGTTAATTTGATAATTATCATCAGTGTATTCCCCTAGGACAGTGGTTGGCAAACTTTGGCTCGGCAAACTGCGACTCAGCAAACTGCAGCTCGCGAGCCACATGCGGCTCTTTGGCCCCTTGAGTGTGGCTCTTCCACAAAATACCGACTTCTGCACATGGGCCACGAAGTTTCAGTCACGCTGTACGTGCACACCCACACGTGGTATTTTGTGGAAGAGCCACTCTGAAGGGGCCAAAGAGCCGCATGTGGCTCGCGAGCCGCAGTTTGCCGACCACGGCCCTAGCAGAATAAATTACTGTGTGCTGGACTTCTTTCCCAGCACCCAAACATTTTTATTCCCCCTGCCCCAAATAAGATTAAAATGAACAAGGAGATGATATAACAGCAAAGGGGCAGTGAGGGCCATCTGGAACTTGGAAGGGGCAGCCCCACTTCCTTGGTTAAAAATGATATATTATAATTTATAGATAGTACCCTCTGAGTGTCTGCCCAGCCAGCAACCAAAGAACTGGGTGGTGCAGCCTGACCACCTTACCTTAATTGGTGTGTTTTTTTCACTTCAGCTAAAAAAATTATGCAAATCACGGGTTTTCATGGGTCTCCATTCTTTATAGTTTCTCATTTTTCTTCTAACTCATGATAAATCTGTGATTATTCAATCAACATTTACTGAGTGGAACCCCCTAAGTGGCAAGCCCTGTCTATCTGCTGTGTTCAGAATAACAGAGTTCACCCTTTAAGAAGTAACTGAAGGTTAAACTATTTTTTTTAAGTCTTTCAAAATA